CCCACCCCACCACTCCTCCCCTTAACCTCTGTTTATGTGGCAGGACGGTCCTCAAACCATTCATCACAGAACTTCTCACCCTAAAGACATCACAGAGACCCACTGTTTCTCAAAATAATTTCCAGAGAACAACCACTAATATCAGGTCAAAAAGGTACACGTGGGGTGGCATGGGGGGTGGGAAGTGTTTCCGTGGACGAAAACGTTTGGGAAACAATGTATGATGAAGTCAAGTTAAACAGGTTGTTTCCTACGAGACTCACTGGCGGGCATTGTAAACCTTCAGGAATGTGGGGTACCATGTTTTCCAATCTTATTTGATCTTTGCATAGCATCCCTTAGCACCAGTGACCCACAGAATGCAACTTGAAGGGCACTAGTCTAGTATGATTGGACAGTTTTCTGATGCAAACACTGAAGATCTAGGGGGTGGAGCATAGCTAGTGACTGGCCACTCAGCTACTAAAAGGCAACTCTCTGACGCTGTGACCTTTGCAAGAGGCTCCGAGTCCCCCGGGAAGAAAGACAGAATGGCGCCTAGACTCCTCTTGCCAGTGTATTTTGGAGCCAGGCAGCCAGAACCTTCATGGGCTGACTCTGGTTGGCCCCCGTGTCTGTCCATCAGCAGAACTCCCACTTCCAGCACCTGCATCTGAGCCCTGGTGCTCTCAGCCTGGGTCCTGGTGGACCCATTTCCTTTATAAGCAGTGAGTTTGTAGGAGGAGACTCTGAGAGTCCCCCACTAAGTACAGGGTGAGAGAGTCTCCAAAATTGTTCACCAGTTTGCTGGGGTGGGGGAGGGGGGTTGGCTGGGCTCATTCTGCAGAAACTCCATAATTGGGGTGGCAGGAGGAAATCAGGGTTAAAAACAGAGAAGAGGGAACATGTGATACCCTGAAAAGGAAAAATGGTCGTCCCCAGGTGGCAGCATGATCCTGCAACATAGAAACACAAACCATTATACAACCACATTGCACCCAAGGTCTCCCAAAGATGTCTATGGCAATGGTTTTCAAAGTGTGGTCCCCAGACCAAAAGCATCACCACCACCTGGGAACTTGTTAGAAATGCACATTCTCAGGCTCCTACTAAAGCTCTAGATTTTAACGAGGTCCCCAGGTGTTGATGATGCATTGTCAGCTTGAAGAAGCCCTGGTATATGGAGTCTGAGCCACTTGTGCCTCTCCCCAAGTCAGTGCCACTGGCATGTAGGCCCCTGAGCCAGAGAAATAAAATTGCAGGAACGGATGGTCCCAGTTTACTCATCTGCAAGACTAGAGATGAAACATTCACAGCCAGAGGGTTGTCCCATGATCCCTTTCGGCCCCAGGAAAAGCCCAGAGAAACCTGAAATTAAATGCTCGGCCTCAGAGAAGATTTTCAAGGGCATACTGGGAGACCAGTTCTTTCTAGAAGTGGTCTAAAGAGCCTGCAAGGTGGCCCAGCTCCAAGTACTTCCCTGTCCTTCACTCCTAGATCTTTCTTGGGGGGTGAAGGGGCAGAGCGGGTTATTCTCCACAGGGCTTACATACCTTCTTGGTAAAGTCCTCTGCCGCAACCCCCGAATCCTGTGAGGGAATGAAACATGGGTTACTTTAATAGGAACCACATGCTTGAGGCTTGCAGTCATTCTGCTGTGATCCTGCACCTCCCTGGTTCCACTCTAAGGTGGCCAGAAGTTAGGTGCAAAAAAGCAGCTCCAAGGAGCAGCTAACCATGTAGCCAATTTCAGTTTCTGTTAGGGAAGGCAAGCATGCTTCCTTGAGTTACCATTTGCATCCAGGACAATGTTATACTTGCTTGCTCTTCCCAGTAGACTCAACTTGAAATTGACCCCTGGTGTAGGCACAGGTTCCAGGATAAGCCATTTCAGCTTCTTCAGCTTGTCTTTGCATATGGATGTGGTGTAAGACTCAATCTGGAAAGCTGTGGTCAGCAGCAGAGCAGAAAAACTGCTCCCTGGGCTTAAGATGACCAACTGATTTCTCAAGAGCTGAGCAGTCTCCTGGGGTCTTGGGATTTTTCAGAGCTCAAACTAGGAAAGTCCTAGGCATACTGGGATGAGTTAGTCACCCTACTTGGGCTCACAGTGTCCAAAAGAATTTATCCCCTCNAAGTGCCAGTCACACTTAAGTTACTCTCCTGTGGCTTTCCTGCCCACAAACGCTCATCACTCTTGTTTACCTGCTCGAGGCCATGGTGAATTTCCCGAGGAATGGTGACAAAATGGTGGCTCTTCCTTTGACCACTCTCTTTCTGAGTCTGCAGCCTCATGGTCTGCTGCTCAGCTGCCCACCGACCCTGCATCTGTGTAGCTGCCATGCAGTGAATGCCTCTTCTCTACTTTATTACCCAATTCCCTACGTTCCCTTTTACCAGTGTCTGGAAGACTAAGAGTATAAATAAAGTAAGTCTTACTTCCTTTTCCTTCAGGGTTTCTATTGATTGTGACTGCATCTCTTGAGGCAAATTGATGGTTTTAATATTAAACTGAAATACCAAGAGTCAGCGAAGATATCAGAGAACTGAGCAAAATATGAAATTGTCCAGAAGTGGAATTTTTCCAACTCTCCAAAGGGGTTTGTCCAGGCCAGGCATATTTGTTCTTTCAGATACTGAGCTACACAAGATAAATACCTTCATAAAGACTAAGAGAACCAGAGTGTCTGAACATGGTGAATTGGAAAAGAACGAGAAGCAGCGAAGTGGGAGGGCTCTGCTTAACTTCCCCCACCTCATCCGGATCCCACGTGGGTCCCAAGTCAGGGCCTGTATTACCTGGTCGTGGTGAACTCTTGCTTCACACTCTTCTTGGACTGGGTACATCACCCCTACCGAAGAGTCAGGGCTGAGGTGGCAGGGACGGTAGCTTTGTAACTTCATGTGCATCTCAATTGTGTGCCCTCATCCCATCCCACTGCTTCCCCCAGCCAAGGGCTAACTCCATGTCCCTGTGAGACCACCACGCTGGTGACAAGCCACAGATATTGGAGTCAGTTGCATCTGGGTTTCAATTCTGACTGCCATTTAGTGAAAGACTTTGGGCAAGTATTTAATTTCTATGCATGTCAGTTTTCTCGTGCCCTAAAGATAATACTAGAACTACAGCAGCAATGGCCAGCTGCTTACCAAAGCTGCCTCTCCATCCAGGCCACATAGCTAGGTTACATTTTCAGCTTCCTTTCCAATCAGACATAGTCATATGATTGTATTGTAGTAAAAGGAATGTTCTGGCCCATAAATAGCCTCCTTACTCTTATGTTTTCCCATCCACTCACTAGCCAGAGAGAGCTTGGAGGCCCTTGAGCCCATCCTGGGCAGAGCCTACCAGGTAGAAGGAACTTGTAATCTGACATAGTAACACTTGCAGTGGACTATGGGAGAGCTGGAAATGAAATTCTAATGGGCTAAGCCACCAAAATGCTGAGATTTATCTGTTGCAGTAAATAGCATTAATCTACTACACTATGTAGTAGGGCTGTAAAAATTAATTGAAGCACCCACTGTAGAGCCTTAAAGGAAGGCTCAGTGCAGTTTAGGTTCATTGCATGTATCATTAGGGTCCCTCGTTGCATCCCATGCCCACCTTCTGCATCACCATCTACTCCTTTGGACAATCTTAGGGGTCTGGAAATCAAATACTATTTATAGAGGAGGAGCCTGCGAGGTTAAGGCCTGAGCCTTATGGTTGGTTCCTCGAAGAGTCTGGAGTTGTTACACTTGAACTTAATCCTGTGACCTCAAGCCCTTGGTCAGCATTAGAAGCAGCTCTCCTTAGGGCAAGTCCCTTTGGTACTATTTGTGAAATGCAAGTCATCTTTGGAGTGTAAGTCGAGACAACACTATTGCGTGCTTGCTGTATACTATCATGCTAAGCCCTTTCCATGGTCCCTCCTCAGTCATCACAAAAACTCTATGAAGGTGCCATTATGACCAACCCCACTTGACCATGGAGGAGTCTCTGAGGCACAGGGGTGGGACGTGACTAGCCCAAGGTCAAGGTCCCCCAGCTAGTAATAAAAAGCGGAGGAGTCAGGATTTGAAGGCAGCCAGCCTGTCCCAAGCTAGTGTGCTCAATTAATAATAACAAGATAGTTGGGACATGCTAAAACAATACCCCAAAACAGTATATATATATATATATATTCCATTATTTAAAAATAGACCAATCTCTCTCCCAAGACTTGCCAATAAGAAATGAAAAATGTGTCAATGCTATTTTATTCTTTATACAAATGAATAGTCTAGCGAGTATAGAGCAAGAGAATTATCTTTAAATATTGTTCACAGAGAGAAATTTGACATTTGTTCAAAACAGCTGCTGGGTTGCCTTATCTGATCCAGCTTCCCTTTGCCACTGATCTCTGAAAAAGAAAAGAAAAATGTACAACTCAGATGAAATCATTCTCAGAATCGAGATAAGGCCCACAGGCATGTTAATATATAACATATTATTAAATTTTACCTCAATTTGACATGTCATAAATGCCCATACTAGGTACTTATAAGATTTGGTTCTCCTGTATCTAATTAGACCATTAGGTCTGTGTGAGTGCCGTGGCCTCAGGGAGCACCTTCCCCTTGTCGTCACCTGGGCATCTTTCTCACCTTGGCCTGCCGGGGCCCTGGCGGCTGCAGCAGATCAGGGTCAGGCTCCAGGAGGGAGGCTGCGATGCTGCCACAGGACAGTGGCCTCATTTCTCTAGGACTCACATCATATGAGAGACAGAGGAGGCCCAGACCTGCCCTTGTGTGTGAATTTCTGCTTCCACAGGCCCAAAGGCCAGTAGTCTCCCCAGATTGAAACTCGGCTCTCAGAGATCACTGAATGGATGGAACGGCCTTGCCTGGCTGTACTCTGAAGTGTTCCCACTATAGGGAGCCACCCCACCCTCCTAAGCAAGCGTGCCAGGGTGGTTGTTTCCTGTCAGAAGGGCCAGGTGAGAAGTCATGGTGCATTGGCTGGAGCTTTCAGCCCTTCTCAGCTACCCCAGGAGACTGCACACTTGCAAAGAGCTGGCCTGAAGTGAAGGCTGCAGTGTTTGCCTGGGACAGGCTGCTTCTGCCAGGCTGGGGTGGGGGCTCTGTGGTGCTGAGAGCAGGAAAGGGAAGGGGCAGAAGGTCCTCAGGGGTTCCATGCGGCCCCCCTTTCTTTGAACTATTGCCCCTTTCGCTGCCTCTCAGTCCCCCAGTCAGACACTTAACATTTGCTTGGAGGAGAAAAGCTGCAGTGAGCTGACCTTGGACTACCCTACTGGGTGTTCTCTTGAGTGTTTCTTCCATTCCTTGGCTGGAAAAAAAAAAAAAAAGGAGCAACTTACAGACACAGACAAAACTGCCTGGAACCCCTGTTTCTTGGTTTCATATCCTTTCTCTACAGGCCTTAAGGCCTTGTTCTCCTAACTAAGATGTCAGCAGCTTCCTTGGGGGCTCACCTGATGAGCCCCGGCCCTGTGCTGGTNAATTAGGTATTTTCTTGTCACAGTCCTATGCAAAGATCCAACATTATCAGTCATACATCCAGCACAGCAATCTTTCATTGCATCAAATTATAATCTCTAAAGTTAGTAATAATACCGGCATTCTCCACCTAAGAAACTTGCACCAATAATTGCACCAAATGAGTTAAGAGTTTTGTGACTTGATTAATAGTCTCTCTGAATTAAGCTGGTATATTACTTTAGTACCTTGAATGTGGACTAGGCACTTACCTTTTACATGTTCCTTTATTTGTCCATTCACTCAAACATTTTTCAAGAGCCTTACTGTACTTCAAATGCTGTCCTAGGTCTCAGAACTTGAAATGAATTAGACACAGCCCCTGCCTCCAGGAAGCTTGCACTGCAGTTGGGAGAGAACCAGTGGGCAGCCGGAGTGAAGAGATGTAAAGCTCTGTTGCTGAAGAGGTCAAGAACTCCACACCCACAGTGTCAGACAGATGTCCACAGGGGCTTGGATGTCAACCTGGGCGACACAGGACATGAGACAGAGAGGACTATGAACAAATTACCATATCCCCCGAGGGGAGGGGGAGTGCAGCCAGGATGTCTGCAGATGACAGCACTGAGGAAGGGTAGGATGGCTTAGCCAGAAGAAATGAGCCACCAAGAAGTATGGTGTTTGGGGGAGGATGGAAGACTATTGGCCTGGAATACTTAAGGGAGTGAGGGGCTCTCCCTTCAAGGCATCCTGGGGTACCTGATGTGCTGGACACTGAGCAGCTTCTCCCAGCCCACCGCCATCCCCAGGAAGTCCTCAGGGAAGAGAAAGGACATAGGGGTACAGCATTTAGGGGAGAGATTGCCAATAAAGAGGGGTTTTTCTCTCCATCCAAAGGTCTAGAGAGCTAAGAGGGAGGGGAGGCCCTAGACAAGAGGGAGGCAATGAAAGAATGGCTAGAAGGAGAGAATTCCAGGGCATCCAGCATGGTGCTTAGGTCCTCTTCAGTGGAGGCTATAGCCCCTGGCAGTGTGTACTGTGGCCATGTAGGTGGGATTGTGCTCTTTTGAGGAGTCCTCATGCCTGAGGCACTGGGCCGGGTTGTCAGTCTGAGCAGCTAACAGTGATT